GAAAGAGACTGTGAGGCTGTAGTGGATAATTTGATGAAAATGTTGACTCAGTGTGCTGCAATAATAAAAATGGCAAATGACACACTGGTGATTATTAGGACAGGGACTGAAAATAAACAGTCATTGTCTCTGTACAGATCTATGTACAGCCTCATTTTAATGCTGTGTACAGTCCTGGTCTCCACATCTTGAAAAAGATACTGTACAGTTGGGAAAGGTGCAAAAGAAGGCAACCAAGATGATTAAGGAGCATCTTTCCTATGAGGAAAGGCTAAAGACTCCAGGGCTTTTCAGATTAGAAAAAAGACAATAGACAAACAAAAATAAGTATTTCCTTACTCAACAGGTAATTAAATTGTATATTTTACTGCTGACTGATGAAGTGATGGTCAGTAGCATAGATGGCTTTAAAAGGAGATTAGACACATTAATGGAAGACAGGTCCATAAATGTCTACCAGCCATGATGATCACAGGGAACCTCCATAGCTATAGGCAGTAAACCTCTGAAACACAGTGCTAGGCGGCAACATCAGAAGATGATCTTGGCCTCTATGCCGTTTGCTGACTCATCCAAGGCAACTGGTTGGCCACTGCATGAAACAGGATTCTGATCTGGACAGACCACTGGTGTGATCCAGCAGGGCTCTTTTCTGAAGTGTAGCACATTCATGAATACGTATACTCATTCGATAACTTTTAAAATGTGACAGCTCTGTTGCTATGATAGCTGCTTTTATGTAGGCTCACATATCCCACTGCATGGTTGCGACAGTTCAACCATGTGGGTAAGGGCTGATTGTGGGGGTCTTTGCCAGGGAACCGGCACACTGCAGAGCACTGATTGTGGAATGCTGGTTTTGAGACATGTTGTGAGACTACCCCATGGAAAAAAGTTCCCACCATAGAATTGTAACATATGAAGGGTCCACCTATTAGCAAGCTACTGGGAAGAACACAGTGATCTTTTCATGAGACACAGATGTTGAGTCAAATGGAACATGTGCAAAGGCAAGACTTTTCATCACTCCTTTCCCCATGTAGCTTATTATGGGAATTTCTTGAATAGCTGTTGATTAATATTACTTATCTTTACTGGAGAAACTGGTTCAAGCTGACAGTAAGATGCTACTTTTCCCTATTTCTCTATTTAAGGAACAGCAAACTTACCGAAGAACTGAGAAGACACGTGCCATCTTCCCAATGGCCCTGATCTTATTCCTGATGATCTCTTTACGGACTGTTGTGCCTCCTTAGGAAAGAAAAATCAAAAGCTTTTAAAAGGACAGGGTGGGAAATGTTTACAAGGGCTCAGGCGATGCCCGTATGAAGCATCTGTTTGGCTCTAGGAAAAAGAAACCAGATTACAAATTTACAGCTAAATTCCATCAGTCACAGTCATGGAAGGGAAATGGATCAGAATGGAAGGGGGAGCAGGTGACAGACAGAATGACACACAGATGAGAAGTCTAAAAAGAAAAAAGGAGAACCACTAAAAGTAGTAAGACAAGTACTGATCAGAGGGGCAGACCTATCTGCCGCCTAAAAATGGGTTTGACCACGTTGCACATGGGATGTAACATGAACAGCCATACAGACACAGTTTGGCAAGGCAAGAACACAGTGACAAGACCAAGTGAGGTGAATACATCAGGATGCTGGGCTGTGCTTGCAGAAGGGAGAGCAATCACACAAGCACCACCTTTGGCACAGACACAGACAAAGGAATGGCTGGAACCTTACAGCTTTGCTTTGACCCTCATTCAATACAGTGTGCTAGGGATAAGAACGCTCCCTTTTACTACACAGACCACACATGGACAGAAAAGCATGGAGGTTTTTGGAGCTCAACTGTAAACTGAACGACAAATACATCTCCTCTCAACAGAGACTTTAAAAAAAATGACCCGACTACGCAATAAAAACAGGACAAGCCAAACTTGGAGATCTGACATGCACCAATGGATCAGCCATGCATACGGTGGCTGCATTCAAAAGTCAAAGAGGAATGTGACCCCCATCGTTCAGGTTCCTGGTGGAACACAACAGGGTTAAAAAAAAAAAAGAACCAAAACGCACCACGCTTATGTTAAAACTGAAGGGGGGAGAAGGAGGGAATGGCGGTATTGTCCAACTAGTCAGCTATTCAAAATCCACTCCAAGGGAATCTGGTGGCACAGGCAGTGAGAATTAAGCTTTTAGCAAATTCTAGCTGGGTACCTTTCGGATAGCTTGAAATGTAGTTATCTTCAGGGAGAGGAGACACCAAGTAACAAGGAGATGAAGATAGAGATAGAAGAAACAAATTTAATTTTCATGGGTGGGGAGGGAAGAATAAAAATAAAAAAACCCAAAACGCCATGGGACAAGCGGGTTCAGTCTGGACCATCGCTGGTTCTCTTCTCATTTTCACCTGCCTAACTCCTGTCTGAACACCAGAGCGACTCTCCTTCTGCCTCCCTGATATATCATGTAAATGTTACACAAAAAGGATGGAGAGGCTAATCCAAAGAGTGAGCCTTAAAGCATCAATCTGTCGCCGTGCAAAGTACCAACGTTTCTGCCACCAATTAACAGTGTTCAAAGCAAACAACAGTGAAAACTGGCCTAAAATTTCAGCTGGCAAGGCGTTGTGTTACCATCCTTTGCACACTTACTGGTTTATCAAAAAATTACACACAGTCAATAGTTCTTCAGGGACAGAGTAGTATAGCTGTTCATTACCCATGGCACTCCTGTTCACTGTTTTTATGCCCTTCACAACTGAATTTAGTCAAAGCTGGTTTTGCAGTTTCTTTAAATGCCTGAAGCTGGGAAATCCAAGCAAGCATGAACAACACTTGCAACAGATATGTACATTTTGTTGTGATTATTGTGGGCACCTGCCGGACAGCAACCTTGCTGCATACATACATCCCAATGCCCAGAACACTTCAGAAATCAATTTCTTCCAGTATGTGGACAAACTGTGCACAGTTACTTATGCTTACATAGTAAAAAGTACAGCTTCCTGCACTAGTTAAATTGATTAGATCAGGAATTGCTTACCAGCTGGTCTAGTCAATTTCAAAGCTCCAGTGATTTGTACTGGGGTTTAAGGACCAGCTACATTGACAAGTTTGGAACATGGAACAAAGGCTAACCCAGTCAGGCTTGTTCTCTATAGCTCTTCCTTCTTCCTTTTCCCACATGGTACAGATCAATCTACCCAATCATGGATCAAGCCTATTGCCACAGTAATGCGCATATGCTTGGGGAGCGGAGTTGCTCATTTCTCCAGAGAAATAATCATCTCTCAACAGCCAAAGACAGTGAGCTTAAAGTATGAATGAAAAAAGATGGCAACAAAAGTATGCTAAGGATCAGGCTACATATCCAGTATTGGATGTCAGTCTCTCTGGATTTGCCTGAAAGCCCCCTGCACCTAGCCCAACCTGAAAATGAAGACGTTTAGTTACCTTCCAATGTTTCATCTCCATCTGAAATCAGCTCATCGTCAGAGCAGATGTTGAGGATGTTAACCAGCATCTCTGTAACTGCAGGAAGCAGTGAGAAATGGGGAAGGGGATTAGAAAAAAACTGGGGCAGAAACTGGGATGGTATGTGTCTATATACAAATCTCTGTATTAAGCCATTAGGACTCAAGTGAAATGATGTATTACAACACACAAAATAAAACTTTCAAACAAAATGAGATGAAAGCCAGATTAAAAACAAATGCTAGAAGAGCCCCTTAGTCCTCATACCCGATAAAAAGTACAGGTAATTGCATGTATGCATATTTATGCACATTCAACATGACACAGTAGAAGCTGATTGTTCTTCTAATATAATATTTGGGCTCTGGCTTCAGCACAACTGCTGTGCACAACAGGTATATTTTAGGAGCAATCTGCAGATATTCCAGAGTTATTTCAAAGTAGTGAAAATCTCAAGAGCAGCAGTCAGATACAGCATTCAGAAATTTTAAAGGGTTATGCAACACCTTTATCTTAACAGGCACGTAAGTTAGGCACACACAATCAACCTATACAGCTGAGGAATTGAAATTGAGAAGGATTACAGCTGAGGAAATGAAATTGAGAAGGATCCATACTACTTCAGCCATAAAGGACTCTGGGTGAGATTTAAACTCAGTCTCCTGGATCCAGGCCTGAAATAGTCTATGCAAGACCATGCTGCTTGTTTTCCTCAGGAGATGACAGGAACACCAGGAAACGGCAGTGAAAGGCAAAGTGTGATTCAAGCCAGAGACCAGCTTTAGCGGCTACTGAGGATGGTCTCTCATCAAAGCCCTCCACCCTAATATACCAGTAAGTACAGTTCCACAGTCCAACTGCCACTTTTACTATATGGAGATCCACAAGTTCACCTGTACTTTCTAACCCTGAAATTCTTTGCCAAGGAAATACATATGTAGATCAAAGAATAAATCATCTACATTAAATATGATTAAGATAAACTGGTTTTGTATAAGAGTTTGGGATGGTTCCAGGGTACAAATGTTATAGGAATTCACAATTTTCTGACCAGAATGGAGAGGCAGTGGGCAAAAAGGAAGGAGAACAAAATCAGCAAAAATCAGCAGAGATTAGATAGCAGCAGAAAGGATAACAGTGCAAGTGTCTGGGGTTTTGGGGGAGTGCACTATAAGAGACACGTTCTTTATTTTTCTCCTGCAACCGTAATGGGTAGGAAATTGCTGGGTTTTTTCTATCCCAAAACACAGCAGAGATTCTCCAAAGGCCAAATTCTGCTTAACAGTCTTTGATTTCAGGAGTGAATGAGCCCACAGAATTCAGAAATACTTCAGGGCAACAATATGCAGTAATACTGTTCAAGGAGTTGGGTGTGAATTGTTCCTATGCTATTCAGTAACTGCTTTTGCCCTCCAGAACGTTTAGTGCCTTCTCCCTCTTACCCTTTTCCCCTACGAAAGGCAAAGACCATGTGAAAACATCCATGAAATTTGGAAGCCAGTAAGGGTGTGGAGAACAGTTGAACTGCCTGATGTTCATGACATTGTTTTCATATTTCAGCACAGCAGCTAAAATGGAACAAGAGAGAAAAGTTACAAGCACACCAATGCTGCCTCTGCTCTTCAGGTTTGTTTGGCCCTGAAAATTCAGTGATGACACAATCTAAAGTAGTTCTTAAGGTACCTATATTATTTATTTATTTTTCAAATTTATAGTCTGCCCTCCCCACGAACAGGCTCAGGGCGGATCACAACAATAGCTAGGCCATTCAGCAACACAGACACAATAATAAAGTTAATTAAAACATTAAAACAGCATTTTAAAACAATCTGCACTAATACTGGTACCACTGGACTTTGAGTTTGCTGCATAGAGGTGGCTGCATAGAGGTGGCATCTTCAGCAGGGGAGGCCAAGTTGTTTTTACTGGACACCTGCCACCCCAACCAAAGGAAAGTTACATGATGCCGCCTCTCCAAAGGCCTGGTCAAGGCAACTTACAAGTAAAAATACTACAAAATCAAATAATCAATATTAAAAATCAGCCATTAAAATAGCAGAATACCATCACTGATTTTTTTAAAAGATAAAGAAGCAGACTATCAAACACCTTTAAAAACCTTAGTTACAATACAAGGTAATGTGTTTTGGCCTGGTGACTAAAAGACAGTATGGTTAGATGCCACACCAGCTTCCACGGTGAGGACATCTTAAAGGTGAGGTTGCACCACTGAAAGTGCCCTATTACTAACTGGATATCCTGCATAAGAGAGGCAAGGGTGAAATTCATCTTAGCCCCAAAGAGAAACCCTGCATGTTGAAGGTAGCACAATAACTTGGCTTTGGTCAAGCACAGTTCCCAAAATGTAAGCTCCACATGTAACCAATTCATGTTCAACTGCACACATTTAATTCTGTCAGTTAAAAGGTTCTTACAGATATGTACATGTCATCATCACATTTCATCATAACAAGCACCTGAGGCTGAGAGATGGTGACTGGCATATATGTCTGTCTGTTGCTCAGGAATACCACAGTTCAAAACAAGGACTATAGAGGGCTGTGAAGATGCTGCTCAACTGGGACAAAAAGGGCCAGAATAAAGGCTGCTTCTCCTAAGGAGGCAGGGAGATGCTAAGGAAGATCTAAAAGCTTGGTGGTGGGGAACACACAAGCTTTCTGCATCAGCTTCCCAGGCTTGGAGAGAATTTCAGGTCCAACCAGGTGAGAAAAAGTGTGCCAGTTAGGGAGGAGAGAACCAAAAATAGAAGGGAAGAAGAGCAGATGGCCCAGGAGATGAGCCTTATACCCTCCTCCCCAATGATAAAGTAAGGGTGGCTCTGCAAACCTGTTGGGTCCCAAAATCCCTGGGGGAAAAGACAACCACAACATGTGTCACTGTTTTAAGGAAGTAAAATGTTATATGACATGAGCAAAAGCTCCTATCAAGAAAAAAAGAAAGGGAGAATTATTAATAGTCCAGAACTGGCATCTAAAGTACTGAATCAAAGTCTTACCCTTGTTGTTATAGACATCTAGATAATTTGGTGCAGAAAAGATTGTGATTAGGGATGGAAAACCTGTAGTTTGGCTCTTCCTGTACATTCGGTATCTGCAAAGAATAATGTACGATAGGCAGATGGTCCTTATAAAACATACAACACAAAGTGGTTGAATGCATACCAGTTACTGATAACCTACCCAGCATCCTGGGCTTCATGCGCTCGGATCACAGATAACAAATTATTATTTTGCAAAAATTCACAAATCGCAGGGTAACTGAAAAAGAGTTAACACAACATTAAAGTTCTTTTCATCATCCCCACATTTGAATCCCATCCTCCTGGGGAGCTCTGGGTATACACAGAGACATCCTGATTTACCATCACAGCCACCACACAAGATAGGTTAGGCTGAGATACTGTGGTTCTCATGGCTAACTGGTGAACACAGTGCTCCCTAATCAAGTCCACTGCACTAGTGGTCTTAATACAGGGACCAGGACATTCAGGTGGATTGTGGAGCCCACCTGCTGGATCACAAGCACCACTATGTTTGGTGTTTTTTAGAAGGACTTCTTGTTACTGTGCATCAGCAGAGAGGAAGGGCATCATGCCTCCTGCCCCCCTTTGCATGTGTGCACAGCAAAGCAAGGTTACTATGCCCTGGAAAGGGTTTTTGTTAGCAGAAGTAGCTTCAGAGACACCCTGTCTCCCCTGCAATAAAAGCTTTCCTTGCCTTCTTTCTATTTTCACCCTTTGTCAGCCAATACTCCCTGTATTCCTCCTCTTTCTTTCAGGTAATTTTATTTATTCATGTTATTTATAGTCTGCCTATTCTCACTGGGACTCAAAGGCATATTACACAGAGTATGTCACCACAAACAACAGGATGGGACATCCAATAGACAATGAAATAGGATGTTACTGATGTCATGTGACTCTGCTTGCAGCTCAGTTGGTCTTATGCTGCTGCTTGGGTGTTAAAGGTAGGTCCTGAGGTCAGAAAAGCTGAAAACTGTTATGCTGCTGCTTGGGTGTTAAAGGTAGGCTGAAAACTCTTGCACTGTGCTGTGCCTCTCCCTCAGCAATTCTGAGACAATGGCTGGTATGAATTATGAGAACAATGACTGAGTATTATTTAGGGGTGCCAAACATTTACAAATTAAGCTGACATCTATGGAACTGGGTGTTTTGCTCATGACTCACTCCAGTAAGCACCCATAGATCACAGGGACTAGTGTAGCACACAGGAGTGGAATTCAAGCTACTGTTTGCCAGCTTTTGAGTTTTAGTCTTCCCAAGTAAATTTGCTTTAACCGTTCTACAGTTCTGTACACAGTTCCAGGATTCTGTAAATAATTCAGGAGGCAATAAACAGCATTTGAGGTCTTTGCAACGTTCAGAAAGAAAAACCCACAGGGAATTCAACAGTAAGCCAAGCTGTACGTTTCAGACAGACACAGCCATAGGTCAAGCACACACTCACTTGCTTTTTAAAACACTATCATACAACAGACTGGATATGGACAGGATTCAACACAGCAGCTTGGACTTCACACTATTTCTTTTTCATTTTATGAAAGTTCTTGCTTGCCTCTCTGAAACATTTCTCACCTGTAGAAATAGGAGCAACCTCGAACAGTGTTGTGGGTAAAATGTTCCAGCGTTTTCTCGTTGCCATAATCCTCTGATGGATCAGACCACAGCAGGTCACACATTGGACCGAAGGCTGGAGGCTCCTTAAACCTGTCTAACTAGAAGGCACACACACACCAAGATAATTGCATGCAAACCCCTGGGATTCTTTGTATTCAGGAGAATCTTTGTATTCAGAAGCTATAAGGGACAAGATGCAAAAAGGGCTTTGAATAACTGCTTCCCAGAATTTTCCTGTGGGGACTAAGGCACGCCACCCAGGAATAATCTTGACCTTAAAACATTCCATGTGCTACATACCACTGCTTCCATCAATATTATCAACTGAAATGCAATTATATTCTGTGGCATTCATTGTGCTGGTGAGTTTTATACTGACTATGCTCTATCTATGTATGTGTACACACATGTACACACTAACCACCTGGAAAAAAAGTACAATGCATAGTATGGCCACAACATAAAGCAACAGTGGTGGTCTGATGATTAGTTGAAATAAACCAGAGAGTGTCTTGGTAAGCAGAGATTCAGTACTGATGGCAGTAGGGTTTTTGGGAAAAGATAACAATGCCCAAAGGCAGTATGTATGGCCATGGACAACCATCTCAAATCTCCATTCATCCATACTTGATATCTATACATCCAGAGGTGAATTGCCAGTAATGGAATTTTAAGAAGGGTAGCACGATCTTCCTTAACAAGTGCCACACACTGACTTTTAACTGGAAGAAAACTGCAGTGGAAATCCACTGCATAGTGTACTAGTTCCTTAGACAGGCCTTCATAAAACCGGCATCAACATCTTGAAATACCACCTGAAATGGCAGGTGACTGGAATGAGGCCAGCTAAGTCCACAGCTAAGGAAAAATGGACATGAAAAATCACAAATCTCCATCCATCTGGAGAAGGTACATTGTGCACATGCAGCTGCATTTCACACTGGAGCTATGCAGGAAGGAAACGCTTGGTTTTGCTAATTGAAGCTTGGCTTCCTGCATGTTATGAGCACAAAATATGTCCTTTAGAAAACTTTTTTCCTTTTTAATGCTAGTAATGGCCTGGGTTTTGATCAGCAATCTCACCCTAATCCAGATTGTGGCTGCGCATGAACACAATATACCTTTTACAGACATGATCTCTACTATATCTTTTTTGGCACGGAACCCACACAAAAACTAAGATACCAGTGCTGTGTTGGTGGGGTGGGGTTGGGGACACAAAGGTGAGACCACTTACTTTCCTAATGTCATCTAGACATGTGATTTCTGGAGACAGCCCTCCATGTACGCACAGAAATTGCTGGTTCAAGAGGGCAGCAAGAGGAAGACAGTCAAATGTATCCATGCATGCATCATACACCCGCTCTGAGTACTTAATTCGACCTGCAAGAAGCAGAAATGAGAAAAAGGATGTGGCACCACAGACACTCACTGGAGGGCCCAAATATCTGCACAAACATTTTTGATAAACATAATGCCTTGTGCACGGACACAAAAAGCTTCCAGAAAGCTGGAGTCTACTTGTGGTGAAAGGCAGGACAGACTTTTTTTAAATAGCTGCAAGGCCTCCATGACCCATGTCCTTCCTGGCTAGTGAAAGCTTGAGGGGAGAGCATTCAGGTCCCTCTGGGAGAAATCAACAGGGACTTTCCCAAGGGGCTTTGAAGGAGGTGGTAGTCTATCCACTGCTGAAAAAACAATACTGGAACCTATGGTCCTAGCCAACTACTGCCCAGTATCAAACTTACCACTCCTGGGCAAGGTGGTTGAGAGAGTGGTGGCTGAACAACTCCAAGCCTTCCTGGATGATGCTTCCATCCTTGATCCTTTCCAGTCTGGCTTCCGCCCCAGCCATGGGACAGAGACGGCTCTGGTCGCCCTTACAGATGACCTCCGTAGACATCTGGATCTGGGCGGGTCGGCACTGCTGTTCTTACTAGATCTGACAGCAGCGTTTGACACAGTCAATCATGATCTACTGACCCACCGCCTCACTGACATACGAGTCCAGGGGACTGCCTTGCAATGGTTTTCCTCCTTTCTCCATGGTCGGGGACAGAGGGTGGCGCTGGGCGAGAGGATCTCCCCGCGATACCCACTGGAATGTGGAGTGCTGCAGGGGGCGATCCTCTCGCCAATGCACCCCCTCGTCCAGTTAGCCTGGAGTTACGGGCTGGGTTGCCATCAATATGCAGATGACACCCAGCTCTATCTGTTACTGGATGGATCCATCTTCCACCCCTGACAACTTACAGATGACCTCCGTAGACATCTGGATCTGGGCGGGTCGGCACTGCTGTTCTTACTAGATCTGACAGCAGCGTTTGACACAGTCAATCATGATCTACTGACCCACCGCCTCACTGACATACGAGTCCAGGGGACTGCCTTGCAATGGTTTTCCTCCTTTCTCCATGGTCGGGGACAGAGGGTGGCGCTGGGCGAGAGGATCTCCCCGCGATACCCACTGGAATGTGGAGTGCTGCAGGGGGCGATCCTCTCGCCAATGCACCCCCTCGTCCAGTTAGCCTGGAGTTACGGGCTGGGTTGCCATCAATATGCAGATGACACCCAGCTCTATCTGTTACTGGATGGATCCATCTTCCACCCCTGACAACCTGGCCGAGGCACTGGAGGCTGTGGCTGGATGGTTACACCGGAGTCGGCTGAAGCTTAATCCATCAAAGACGGAGGTCCTGTACCTGAGTCGGAAGGGAGGAGACATGAGCATTAGGCTCCCCATGCTGGAAGGGGCATCTCTGGTGCCAGTCCAAAAAGTGAGGAGCCTAGGAGTAACACTGGATGTCTATCTATGGAGGCCCAGGTTACTACAGTTGCCCAATCTGCCTTCTTCCATCTGCGGCAGATTAGGTTGCTGAGACCCTATCTCTCCCCCCAAGACTTGGCTACAGTGACCCATGCAATGATCACTTCCAGGCTTGATTACTGCAATTCGCTCTACGCAAGCTTACCCTCGAGGCTGACTCAGAAATTACAGCTGGTACAAAATGCAGTGGCGCACCTGCTAATAGCAACACCTGTGTAGGCTGACATTTGGGAAGTGCTCTGCCAATTGCACTGGTTGCCAGTTGAATTCCAGATCCGCTTCAAGGTGTTGGTAATAACCTTTAAAGCCTTACACAGTCTGGGACCAACATACCTGAGGGACTTCCTCTTCCCATGTATGATCCGAAGAGCATTACACTTGATGAATCAGCATCTCCTGGTGGTGCCTGGCCCAAAAGATGTCCGTCTTGCCTCGACTAGGGCCAGGGCTTTTTCTGCCCTGGCTCCAGCCTGGTGGAACATGCTCCCCATTGAGATCAGGGCCCTGCAGGATCTTCTTCAATTCCTCAGGGCCTGTACGGCAGAGCTGTTCCACCAGGCCTCCCGCTGAGGCAGCAGGTGTCCATATATGGCCTCTCTGAGGTTTTTGCCACCCATTTTAACAACGGGTGACCTGTATCTGTATCTTATTATAGGCCGAACCAATCACAACCGTTAAAAATCTTTACTGTAAGACTGTGACCACCATTTTAATATATATGACAGTTTTAATATTTTAATTATTTATTCTATTAATGAAACCTTGCTTTGTACTGGTAACATGTTGTTACCCGCCCTGAGCCCACTCGTGGGAAGGGCAGGCTATAAATATAAATAAATATTTTAAAACTGAATAGTGCACCCCCCCGGACAGGTGCTCACAAGTTTCCTAACTTTAATCATTTTGCACACAGACTTGCTGGTTGAGGAACCCCAGCACGTCTGCTGCAGGACCCCTGTGCAGTGCAGGGGACACTAAGGTACAAAATCAGTCTGTGCAGGGCACCGATCAGACTTTTGGGGCCTCTCTGTTGCCTTGTGTGAACTGAGAGTGCCTCCTTAAAAATATACCCAATATTCCTCTGCAGCAAAATACTGAATGGGAAGGTCAATATTAGTGGACAGCTTATTCTTCAAGGAAGCCTGCCTGCCATCAGGGGTCGTTTCGTAGAAAAAGAGCTAGGGGAACTCATTAGCATAACTCATTAGCATATGCCACACCCCCTGACATCACCAGAAGTGTGTCATAAGGCCACACACCCCGCCCCCAACGGTCCCGGCCGCCACCGCCGGCCTTGCAGCTCCACTGCCGAGCCCCATGAGGGGCCCAGCGGTGGACCTGCAAGGCTGGCGGGAGTGCAAGGAAGCCCCGCGAAGGCCCTCCCTGGCCCCAGGCAGGCAGTGGTGGGGAGAGGCAGGGACTAAGCAACTTACCCTCCCTCTTCTCCTGCCTCCTCCTGGCTGAATGAGGGCCAGAAGCGGGGTGGCCGGAAGCAGGGGGCGGGGCTTCGTCATGTGCCCCGCCCCCCGTACCTCACCTGGGGGAACTGCGATCCCCCGCGAAATGACCTCTGCCTGCCATTATGGATACTCTTACTGAAGAGGCCCAACAAGCTACCAAGGAACACAGTTTGAAAAACTGCCGCTAAGATTCCTCACAGAAAGGACTCACATATGGCAAGTCTCCGGAAACAGCTCTAAATTTCACAGGTCTCCTCTCCAAGCTAGATATGTATAATACATGTTGTGCTGCTTTTTCATGACTCATCTGATGTGGGTGCATGAGTATCTTTAAGATTGCTGTAAAAAGCAACCCTTGACAAAAGCTTACCTAGTGGACATATGAAGGTCATAAGCATTATTAAAAAGGGAACAGGGACATTTTCATTTTTTTGTTTGCAGATCACAAGAATTAGAAAAAGGAAAGAGAATAAACAACTGAGGCTCTGAAAAGAAAGTCACTAATAACCTGCAGAGTTCACAGACACAGGATAACGAAAATGGAATACCAATCAACCAGTATACATCCAAGATTTGTGACCTTACATCTTCCAATAACCACATCGTAATTTTATAAATGTATCATCGTTTCAGTATTAAGCCTTTGAAAGACTGAAATCAGAACGTAGACTATTGATGATATTTATTTCCACAGCATTTGTGATAAGATGGGCTTCAAGTTGTAGAGTTTCTGGTGCACAGGGGGACTATAATTTTGACTGCTCCAGTCACAGGGCCAGGACACAGCATGGACAGAAGGAAGCCTAGGAGCAAAAAGGCACACAAACCTGGCAGGCAATGGAAGAGTGAGAAAATAGCTAGGGAGCTCACAAATAGGGGTGGCTGGCCAACCTGCCAGCAGACTTTTCCTGTCTCCTTTTACAGGGCTACGGCGAGGTGGGAGTGGAAGAAAGAGGGAAAGTTCAAATGGTCTCACAGATGAGCTCATGTTCCAACGTAATAACTAAGGGTTGGGGAGCAATACCTGACTGTTGCAAACATAGAGGAACAGCAAAACTAAAGAGGTACATAGCTAAAAGTGGATGAATTGATGAAGAGCTGCAAACTCAGAAGGAGAACAAGAGAGGTGGGGGATAGTCTTAAATGTAAAGAGACAAGGGAATGAACTCAGTGAGCTAGTACAAAAAAAAATTAAAAGAAGACACAGGAACTTTACAGATGATTTTAGCAGTGGCATTTGAAATAGACTGAAAAGTGGAACAGGTCTTTCTTCTTACACTCTCTCCACTCAGTTTATAAGCTGGTAAATTTAAAGCTTTACACACAAACACATAGAGTCAAGAGGTAAGGATTCACTCAGGAACCCACATTAGAGGGGGAAGTCCTTGATTTCCTTCCAATTCTGATACCAGCTGCACAATCTAGATCTGAAAACTCTTGGCAGTAATTACAGGGTGTTGGGTCTCTAAGCTGATGGGGGTGGGAGGGGCGGCTTGCAGGGAATCAGACTGTCAGGGAGACAGAAGCAGTGCTCACAGTCTCCCTCTCCGAAAAGGGATTTAAATGGCACTTCTATGCATATTAAAGAAAGGCAAGGACATAGGATCACAGTAATATCCATGGTCTTGCCTTGCCAGCCATCCCTTTCCCCCCCACACACACCTCTTCCATGCATGGTGCCCCATACTTACATTCCTGTTTAAAGGTGAAGTATTCTGTGAGGTGCCTGCACTCATGGTTCCCTCGGAGCAGGAAAAGTGTTTTGGGATGGTTTATCTTTAAACTCCATAAATACAGAACACACTACAAGAGAGGGGGGATGAGAGAGAGCGTGAGTGAAAGCAACATATGATAAAACCTTTTGCAGGGAACTTATGATGGAAAAATAAAGTTCTTCAACATTATCAAATTACACATTTTGAATGAGAGTAAAACTTTGCTGTAAAAAGCACGTAACCCACGTATGTTTTGCAACAGAGGTAACCCCGTTGAATATTATAATTTGAATTCATCTTGATGTGTATACCAGTAGCCTTTAACTTATTCCAAAGGAAACAGAAGATGTACACACTTTCTATAGCATGGTTATTAATACTAAAAGCAGAATAATGATACATCTATTATGTCAAAAGCATAATTTATGTAGCTGCCCTCATCTGAGTGACCAGTTCCCCGTTTCATCCAGGAAAGGCAAAGGCACTGTGATTTTTATACACATCCTCTGTAGATTCACTTCAAGTACAACCTTCGTTTCACTGTTTCATCAAAACACCACAGAATGACTCCCAAGACCAAAATCATGCTGTCTTCACAAGCACAAGAGCTGCTTTCAAAAGGAAAGCAAACTGGTTGTCTGAATTTATCATAAGCACACTGCAAAGCACTTTCACATCATGCTAATGGTTTGAGTAGTAGACTAAAATCTGGGAGGCCCAGGTTCAAACCCGCACTCTGTGATGGGGGTGACCTGAGGCCAGTCGTATACTCCCGGCCTAACATACCACTGCATAGGGTTGTCATGAGGATAAAATGGAGAAGAGAATGATACAATCCACTTTGGGTCCCCCAGCGAGGAAAAAGGCAGGGTATAAATGAAGTGAATAAAAAGTGAGAAAGAAAGCAGAAGTGAGACAACAATACTTACTTCCGAGACACCATTACACAGACAAAATATTCCTGGAAAAGTCTTGTGTATGGGGCACCCAGAGTCCAAGCTGGGATTCTCTCATCCCTCTTCATTAGATGGAGCACAAAGGCAGTCCATTCTCATCTTAATAGTTCACCATACTGAATGTAAGGGCAAATCCTATAGCCTCTTCAGGAAAATTATGACAACACAGATGGATGATACTTAATTATGGAACAGGATTTTCACTTCAGCCAGTTTACAAACTATGGTAACATATTGTTCATCTTGAAGCCATGTACAAAGCATCTAACTAGTGGTTCCCTTGGGTTTTCAAAAATAGTAAACAGCAGTCTTCCCCACCTCCAATTCCCAATCAGGGCTATGAAGTATGTGTGGGAATTAAAAACCGCTCTCTGCCATGATTTTCCTGACTTCTGTTGCATCCCCCAAGTTGTTATTCCCTCCAACGAGGGGGTAGAGGGAGAAAATATAAGCAACTGATTTAGGAGAGAGTATGCGGAGTTAAACTCTCGCCCATGCACTGCAACTCCAACCCAAATGCCCCCCAGCTGCTATTTACCATTTAAAAACCTGAGATAGACCTATTCATGAATCTTCCAAGGTCTCGTCTAGTTAAGTAAGCCCTAAGGTATAGTTCTCACTGTTTCTTGGCCATAGTACAACTTCAGTCTGCAAGGCTTATAAGTCTGAAGAAAAATACTTCCATCGAGAAAACTAGCCTGTCCGTAAAGTAAGGTTCTAGCCTACCTTTATGATGGGGGGCAGAAAAAGTGATGGGTGGGAAGCAGAAAGAGAGAGAAAGTGACAGGCATGCAGCAGAGAGAGTAAGAAAGAGGGTGGCTGGAGTGAGAAAGCGTGAGAGACTGAGAGAAGTTGGGGGAGAGAAGAGGAATGGGATAGCTGCTCCTGTAAGTTTCTTGCAGGTCCCCACTTGTATATTTATAATGGTTGGACTGGTTGGTTTTAACAGATTCATTGGTTAACAGAAGTTTTATTAGTAGCTGTCTACTGTGGTACTGAGCTAATACAGACTGAAGAGAAAGGAAAACATGGAATATAGGGGATTTGATAGGATCTGCCTGCTTTGATAGAAGGCTGGGATGTGAAGCTAGAAAGGTTTGACATTCACAGGCTGGTGATAGTAAGTTGTTGGAGATTTGCAAAAAAGACTTCTTATCCATATTTTCTTAAGTTTTGAACCCAGGAACAGGTTATTAGATTACTGCAATATCACAAGTCCTAGCTATTTACTATTGGGGATTATCTCACTAAAATAGTCTACTGTCTCTTGTTGAGCCACTTAGCTTTAAAACACAAAACAGCTTGGGTGTGAGAGAATATTTTTCCTCATAAAGTTCACCTCCTTTATATACCTACAACGAAAAAAAGAAAACAGCTCACATGGAAAAATGAGATCTATCTAGAAATTATTGTAATTCTCACTGAATAATATCAAACACAGCAAAAACTTTGTTATCCAGTAGAATGGGGAATGGGGGCTGCCAATTATTCAAATGCGCCAGATATTCAAGCTTATTGCTCTGCCCCACCTCCTACATAGAGGGATTTGCCGCAACCAAGCCCCACACCATTACAAATGCCACGGTGACAAGCCACCATACCTGGTGTTGGGATTGCAACCCCTTCCAATGCAGCAGGCAGCCAAGTGGGCCAGCTGCCTGGGATCTCTCTGGCAGAGGTGGCTCCTGACAGCTCAAGACAGACTAAGGAGAAAGGAGGCACCTGAGGATGATGTCAGCTGGCAGTGCCTGCTATCAGAACCCTTGGAGGCAACAAGCTGGCTGACTGTTGAGGTGAGAGTAGGGTGCATATGCAAGGGTATGTTGGGCTTAGAGGAAGGAGCTCACTTTCTGGGTGATGCCACTTAACTGAGTGTTCTGGATAATCAAATCCTGGGTATCCCTTTAGGGAAAAGATCAGGGTACAGTACTGCTGAAGCACCCTGAAGCATTTTATGTACATGCTGCTCCCCATTTTGTCTTTCCAGCCACTTTTTGAGTCAAGGCTAGTAATACTCGGTGACCTTAGGCAAGCTGCTAAGCCTCATGGCTGATGAGGATTTGAACCTGAATCTCCCAAGTCAAAGCCCAGTTGCTGAGATCATAACACCCTGACAGAAATGCTCATGTCGATGCAGGTAACTACCCTCTGCGTTAACAATATTAACACCAGTTATAAACCCCCACCCACCCACCCGCTCTGCATCCCGTTTCCTGGCTGCCTCCATCAGGATGCAATTATAAAAATTACCTCCTATTCCATTCTGTTAGAAGGTCATTAACATCAACTCCTCTGGCAGATGCTCCCTAATATCCCCAACCCAGATGCGCAGGCTCACACTGTGACTCCAAGCCCTATAGATGCTTGTATTCCCCCTTTCTGTGAGACTGCAGAAGCAACAGTGGAAACAGAATACAAAAAAAAGCTCAACTCTAAGATAAGAGGCCATGACAATCAAAGTGAGATTGTTCTATATAAAAGCTCATACTAGCTGTTTATTTTTTTAAAAAACCAAACCAAACAAATGCTGATTATATTTTGTCCTACACTGATCGCAAGCCTTGACAGACTATAAATTCTGGGGCCATATTGCCCTATCTTTGCCAATATACTTTTCTGGTTTCTAAGCCTACAGCAAACATACCCTAGCCGAAATGTTTCAATGCATATAGAACTGTTTTGTGGTAAGTAGGAAGCAAGGCATATCTCCATGCACTCAAGCAAAGCAAGGCTTCTCAATTCCGTTTTATCAGTGACATTTGGAGCAGCCCCCGCATGTACTAATCAAAGCCCACCCTGCTTCGTGAAAGATGAATGCCTGCTCAGTAGGGGAAAAAATGAAAAGAACGTACCATGGCTCTCTCTCCATTGTGGATTTCAAGGGAAAGGGGGTCAAGAATAGCATGAAAGGGCTCCATGCCGACAGCATACAAAAGATGGTGATTCCAAGCAACTTCCAGGATTGGAAATGCTAGTTTTGTTACAGCACAACCCTATAATAAGTTGGATGAGTTCTCTTGTAATAAAATTTTCTGAGTGGCACTTCAAGCATCTCAGCACTATTTTCTCCCCCCCCCCCCAGCTCCTTTTTAATCTATCCTCCTGCCCATAAGCAAAGCAGAGGTGGGAAACACGCAGAGCTCCTCCAGGGAACCTTCGTGAAACCTACAGTTCTTTGAATCCTTTGATTTTTCGTCACAATGTCTAGATATCACAAATAATGTCACCACTGAAATTTTACCTTCAGTAAAAGCTGAAGTCGATTTGGACATTCCTTTTCCAACAAAACTACCAGGGAGCTTTAAGGGAAAGGCAAGAGAGTTTGGTTGAAAGGATCACACCTGGGGAGTAGGGTGGGGGTTGACAGTGATTCTGCACATCCCTAGGCTGTCACAGGATTTGCCTGAAGCAAAATTCAGAAATGAATCTGGAGGCTTCACAAGCAAACATCAGGAGGAGTTCTGAGGGAAGTCTAACCATAGTGACATTTCTCAGGCAAGTTTTCCACATGCTTAAATTGTAGAGTTATTCTTTAACAAGTGCAAGGTAATATACCTACTACAGTATGTTGGAAGCTAAAATGGCACTTCACTATTTGTTGGATCCCCTCCCGGTCCTCTGAAGGTAAGAACAAACCCAAATGGAACAGTTTCTATAAGGCGAGGATTGTTGCCGCATGCCTGGTGGTTGATACCTGAACAAAAAATAACTAAAATTGTCCACAACAAACACCTGGTGAGTCATGGATTAACTGAACTATCCCACCCGCCCCAATTTATGAACACAATCTTTTGCTGGAATAGATGAGGTAGAAAATAAAAAGACATAAGCAAGCAAAAAACAGGACAGACAGTGGGTTGGATCCAACCAGCTTTTCCAGTGTTGAAAAGGGTCCCCTTTGAGCACCAAAAAGGCTATGTTGGGGAGCATGGGACCTACATAGACAAAAACAACATGGAATGGGAGCTGTAATAAGAAGAGGGATTGGTTTAGATTGAGCAAATAAATTAACTGTATCTTTTGTCACACTGTCTCGTGAGCTACCACTAAAACAACTCCTGGCTACATGTTAAGAAACCCTGCCCATGGTGGGTCATCTTGTCTAGTAACTCTCTTTGGCTCAGACAGAATATACAACAGAGTGTCTTGGAGCACCTGAAATGTGAACGCATTCATTGTGGCATAAACCTTTATGGAACAGCCCATGAAAGGTTATGCTGCAAAAGATTTTACTCTTTAAGGTGCTAGAAGACATTTCTGTTATAATGGACTAATATGGCTACATTTCTTTATACTACATTGAAAGCTTTACAATGTAAGGGAGCAGAAAGCTGCTATATTACAATACGTCATTAGCATCCCAATAAACACCATCCTGAATCCTTCCCTGGATTACTGAAACTCCCTTTTCCTGTGACTTCCACAAACGTGCATTTGTACTTCATTATTACTCTAGAAGTGGTGCATTCCATCTGGCTTTCTAATATCTATTGTGCTATCATTTGAAAACAAAGGCTGGATGTCAGTAGTTCTGCCATCCATTATGCCCTTTGAAAACCGTCAAATGGCACAGAAAATCCAATGTTCTTAAGGGGTGAAGGGAACCTCCCTTTACTAGTCAAATCTGTTCTTCCCAAAGATCACAGTCCCTTGGGGAGCCCACCACGTTTACTTAAAAGACAATTCCTTACCAGCTGATGTGAAGATAGCAGGCTGGCTCCACTTAAACAACAACTCTACTGAAAGCTATCACCCAGGATAGTTAAGGTTGACCAGTTCTTTCCATTCACTGAGTCCCATATGGAGCTGTTTTTTACCAAATCAGACCACTAGTCTATCAAGCTCAATATTGTCTACTCTGACTGGTAATGGGTATCCACTATCTCAGGTGGAGATCTTTGACACCACCTGCTACATGGATATTTTAACTGGAGATGCCAGAGACTGAATTTGGGATTTTCTGGATGCAAAGCAGGCACTCTACCACTGAACCATGGGTAATTTCCCAGCACTGCTTTGGTTAGGGAAATATGTTGCAAAGAACCACAAGCTCTAGTAAGCAATGTCCCAGATGCAGACCTCTTAGTGCAGGGGTCGTTTCGTAGAAAAAGAGCTAGGGGAACTTATTAGCATAACTCATTAGCATATGCCACACCCCCTGACATCACCAGAAGTTTGTCATAAGGCCACACACCCCGCCCCCAACGGTCCCGGCCGCCACCGCCAGCCTTGCAGCTCCACTGCCGAGCCCCATGAGGGGCCCGGCGGTGGACCTGCAAGGCCGGCGGAGTGCAAGGAAGCCCCGCGAAGGCCCTCCCTGGCCCCAGGCAGGCAGGGGTGGGGAGAGGCAGGGAGGAAGCAACTTACCCTCCCTCTTCTCCTGCCTCCTCCTGGCTGAATGAGGGTCGGAAGCGGGGCGGCCGGAAGCAGGGGACGGGGCTTCGTCATGTGCCCCGCACCCGTACCTCACCCGGGGGAACTGCGATCCCCCGCGTTCCCCCCCGAAATGACCTCTGTCTTAGTGTATTTTACTACTCATCACTGTTAAGGTGAAAACAAATTGAGGAGGAGTGGGAATGCTTTAGAAGCACCCTAATCACATTCCATTCCTTTTCATTCCCAGGGCTGAGAAAAAAATAGTTTAGCAGGTGTGCAGCAAGTGCCAGCTGTGAACAATGACATCTGACTACCTCCTGCGAACCTCAGCCAGCCCCTCCCCCCAACTGTTATTACATTTTTTTACAAATACAAAATATGAACACATGAAGCTCCCTCACAAGGAGTCAGACCATTGGTTGAGCAAGGTCAGTATTGTCTAATCTGACTGACAACAGCCCTTCAGGGTCTCCTGTAGAGAGAAGAGAAGAAGAGGGAGAGATTGGATTTATACCCCGCCCTTCACTTGGAGTCTCAGAGCGGTTTACAAACTCCTTTCCCCTCCCCTTCCCACAACAGACATCCTGTGAGGTAGGTGGGGCTGAGAGAGCTCTGACAAAAACTGTTCTTCCAAGAATAGCTCTGACAGAACTATGGCTTGCCCAAGGTCATCCAGCAAGTGCAAGTGGGGGAGTGGGGAATCAAACCCGGTTCTCCCAAATTAGAGTCCGCACACTTAACCACTACACCAATCACATCACACACTACCTGATCCTTTTAACAGGAGGATGCCTGGGATTGAACCTGGGACCTCTGCATGCAAAACAGATGCTCTGCCACTGAGTCATGGCTTTGCACCCTCCCATGGTTCCATAAATGTACACACGGATGTTTTGAGCAGCATACAACATAGGATAGGAGCAAAATCTCTCCTCAAGCCTGTATGCTCATCCTTTATCACAGCCTGCACTTTTCCTACTATTCTTCTACTCATCTTGTAAGTTGAGCTCCTGGAAGAGGCGAGGAGAGCTTTTTAGGTGGTTCAGGGAGAAAATGCAAAGCTGTTTTTGTCGGCCATGGCTTTTATTGAGCTTTGAGTTATGATAATTAACACAGGTTGTGTGTGAGGGTTTTTTTTTTTGGGGGGGGATTATTATTTTACTAAACTGACCGATAGCCACCTTAAGTCCATGTTCATGGAAAGACAATACATTTATTTATTTATTTATATGTTTTTAATTCATTTATACCCCACCTTTATCCCCAGTGGGGACCCAAAGCGACTTGCGTCTTTTGTCTCTCCTACATTTTACCCTCCCAACAACCCTGTGAGGTAGGTTAAGCTGACAGTGTGACTGTCCCAAGGTTACCCAGCAAGCTTCCATGGCACAAGTGGGGATTCAAACCTAGGTCTCCCAGGTAGTAGTTCGACTTTCTTACCAACTACACCACACCAGTGTTCCCTCTAAGCTGAGTTAGTATGAGCGAGCTCACAGTTTTTTTAGCCTCCGGCTCACACATTTTTGCCTTAGCTCAGAAAGGATGGCTTCAGAGCAAACTAATTTATGCAGTAGCCAAATTGTTTGCTCACAACTTTAATACCAGTAACTCACAAAGTAGAGTTTTTGCTCACAAGACTCCACAGCTTAGAGGGAGCATTGCACCACACTGACATGTTTTAAATAAATATAATAATACGAACTGACAACTGATTCAGCATTCATCTTCATAAACTAGACCTATGTACTGCAAACTACAAAACTATGAAAACCATGATGGCTTCTCTTGAAATCATGTATCTGGCTTCACTCTCATTAAGTAGAAGTAATTTTTATGGGCTAGTTCAGTTATCTTGCTAGAAGAATCATAGAATTGGAAAGAAACTCCATGGTCATCTAGTCCAACCTGCTGCACAATGCAGGAAATTCACAAATACCCCCCCCCCCCCACCCGCTATTCCACGCCCAGAAGATGACAAAAAACCTCCAGGATCTCCAGCCACACTGGCATGGAGAAAAACTGCTTTCTGACCCCAACATGGCAATCAGCATTTCCCTGGACGTGTAAAGAAACGGCCACAAGAAGTACTGATGCAACCCTTCATGCCCTCCCTCTCATGATCTACCTAAGTTCACAGGATCAGCATTGCTGTCAGATGGCCATCTAGCCTCTGTTTGAAAACCTCCAAAGAAGGAGAGCCCACAACCTCCTGAGGATGCCTGTTTCACTGAGGAACTGCTCTGTCAGGAAAATCTTCATAATGTTTAGCCAAAAACTCTTCTGATTTAATTTCAACCTGTTGGTTCTGGTTCGACCTTCTGGGGCAACAAAAAGCAACTCCATACCATCCTCTATAAGACAGCCCTTCAAGTAGTTCTATAGCTAGAAAATGCAATGGAAGCTACTGATATAGTCATAATGGTATTTAATTTTGTCCATTTTTGTATTGCAGAGTCTGCTTGGAATGTTCCTCTGCAGAATTTCAAATGTGATCTTCTCCCTTCCCCCAACAGAATGGAAGAGAGATTATACCAAAAAAATTAGAGAAGCAAGTCAAGACAAAGGGACTTACTGGGATCTTTGGGGAACATCTGTGCTGAATGAAATATCTTAACACCATGGCTATGGCCATTTCCCACTCAAGCTGCCACATTTCAGAGCATTTATGAAAACCGCCCACACAATTTTAGGCTCAAATCAGAGCCAGTTAGTGCCACTTAACATATATTTCAGTGAAACCCTTTGTGTTGCCAATTGATTACAAGAGCAGAATGTAATAATATCACCATGTCTCATGTGAATAAATACATGAATGTATTTATTTAGAGATACTGATGAAGCAATGTTTTCTCTGCGCCAGCTCCACCCAATTATTCATTTTTCTCAGACTGCATTAGCAGAGTTTACAGGCAATCCTGACTGCCTTGATCAGCCTGTAGGGCTGAAAGATCATGGAGCCATTTGGACAACCCATAAGCTATATCCAAGCCCAGATTAGTCCAGTTATGTGTTAGAATTCAAAAAGATATCCAGGATGAAAATGCACATGATAAATATCAATTTGGCTTATAAGGTATATACTGTATTCCCTTGGGAGCAGCCAAAAGTTATTCAGATCTGTATGATCTATGATACACACAAACAAAAAACATAATCAACATCAGTCTGATGTTCTCTGACTTATGAACTGATACATCAGATTTCTATTTGCATCAGAATAGACGGGTAGCATTTGAAATGAAACTGGCAGATTTCAAAACATGCTGTCCAGCGCTGCCATCTAACCACCCCGCTACTATGATTCTTAACTTAAATGCAATTCTGTATGAGTTATTTTCTTTTCTTTTAGAGAAGGTTTGTTGATGGAGACTTTGACATTTAAAAACCATACCATCCTCTCAAAGGGGTACAAAGGGCAGAAGTTCCACAGGCTTAATCCAGACTTTAACATGCTAACTCCCAAAGGTTCAGTTGAATTGTCACCTCTATACTGAAGTAGCCTCTGTCCACGTAGTCTCCCAGGAAGAGGTAGCGAGTGTTATTGGGTGATCCTCCAACTTCAAACAATTTCATCAGGTCAAAGAACTGCCCATGAATGTCACCGCACACTAGGGGAGGAAGGACAACAACAAAAAAAAAGAAAGAAAAAAAGAAAAAGACAGGATTACATGCTAAGAAGATAAAAGTCACAAAACCAACAGGGAATATGACTTACTCCTGCCTGAATTTTTCAAGTACATCCAGTTTCTGTACTCTTCATTTCCATGATACCAAAAGAATTTTCAGCTGAAAAAACATGCAACAGGAAACCTCCTGGTTTTGGAAGCTTAGAGTTCTAGAAATGGGCTTCAGAAAGCAAAAATAATTGGAAGAAACCACGCTCTGACCTGTGATTGGAGCCTCTACTTCAATCATTGTCTTCTCATGCCTCAGAATGGCAGCTCCATCATTGATTATCTTCAGCGCTGCATCCTCTTCCAAGCGTCCTTCTTTTACCAAGTGGTTTTTTAATACTTCCAACCTGGGTTTCCCATCCTCAAAAACTTCCTTCAGGGTTAGCCGCTGTGTGGGAGGGAATGGAACAGCTAGGGAGAAAAAGGAAAAGGTAAACACTGAGTTTGTTCAGATGACAACCCACCTGTAATCAGATTTTAGCGGTGATTCTTTAACCTGGGCAGCAAAAGAAGGGATGTTTGGCACTTGGGAACACACTGAAAACCATTTTGATCTAGACTGTCTTGAAGAAACATAAAATCAAATATTTCTAGTTAACATAAAAACAAGTATGAAGATAATCAAGTGTACAAAATGTACCAGGCCCTAGGGACAAACTACGTGTTTTCAGAAAACTGCACAAAATTCATTTTATGGAAACAGTCCTTCAGAAAGCTGAATGTTTCAAATTCCTAGATCAAATTTCAACTTTCCAATAAAGTTTCTAGGAGCTGAGACAGCCAGGCATCTAAGTATAAGGTTCAGATGTGTCTTCTCCCTTCTTAAAACGTACTCTTCCCTGCACCTGAGAGATCCATCTCACAGGTGCATTTTATGACTTAAATTAGATGTGATCACTAACAAATTAACTGGCCTAAACAGAAAGGCTTTCACACATTAATAATCTGGAATTAATAAATATGAATTTTAATATTTAATATTTCATTTTTAAAGCTCTAAATAGGAATTAAAGTAATTGGACATCCCAAATACCTAGCAGACCACTTCCACACTGTCATTTTTGTCCTTCATTTGTCCCTATTGCTTCAAGTCCCCCCAAAAAATTTGTTTTGCTTTCTCTAATAGTCCCAGAGGGAGCAAAACACATATGGAAATGGGGGGGGGCACACAACCCAAAGCAATAGGGAAAAATGAGTGACAAAAGTGACAGTGCGGAAGAGGCCACAATGATTATTCTATGCTTCTACAATGATTATTAACATAAAATGCTGACCAAGGCCAAGCATGATGTCACAACACCGCACAAAGTGAAAGTTTGGTTATCTGCCTTCTAGACTTCCCTAGAAGCATGACTAAATCCTGATGACTTCTGGGATGGATGTGCTAGCATGATCATTCAGACTATATTCAAATATCAAATATTTATTAATGACAAGTTTAGTTTATTCTTGGGCTTGCGCATTCCCTTACTGTTCCCATCAGGTGCAGAGCTGAGAACAGAGACTTCTTGCTTCAGGCAGTCTCTGATCTAGCCACAATTTGTTGTGACATCTGAAATTTCGGTAATCCTTAAAACAAATCTGTCTAAAGCAATTGTTACATTATTTACTGAAAATGCAAAAAGAGGGTGGGGTATGCTACTAGATCATGACTTGCTTAAGGCTAGCTAAGATTTTCATGGCTGAGGACCTGAGGTTTGAACTGACTTTCCAGTTCACACCTGAAAAGCTTACGTACACGTTACACAAATATGCATATAAAAAAAACCTCAATAGCTATTTTTGGTAGTGAAAAGGCCACTTTCAGTGATCTGGAACACAAAAGTGGCAAAAAGGGAAGGAGGAGCTTATTTGTTTTCTCCACCTACTGCTTCTCTGCTCAAAATTACCTCCCATGCACCCCTCCCCCTTTCAGGTTCCAAACATAAGACTTTGCTAATGTGTTTGAAATCCATGGAGGGAAAAGCAGCTTGTGGGTTTTTCAGATGGCAGTTTACTGAAATCTTTCATTACCTTTTATGCAGCAACGTACAGTGAGATGATGTTTCCAGCTTTCATAAATATGCTCATGCATATGTGTAGCTCTACCCACAGGAGTTAGAAAAACACAGAGGAAAGAATAATGGCACTTTGCAGAGTGTATATCTTCAGCCTGAAGGTATAGATAGCACAGAGACAAAGGAATCTACCTTTTGGAGACATTTCCCATATTTCTTGTTGGGTTTCACAACATTCATGGATGAAAATCAGGATGTGCTATAAACATGAAGTTCCATGATTCTTTTCATCTCTCCCCCCCCCCCCCCCTCTTTGCTGTTGTCACCTCCAGTGATTGAACCTGCAGGAAATCTGGGATGAGGAGGGTATTCAGTTCCTTCCCTTCTTCTCACTTCCCCATCCAAAACTGCCAGTCCAAGCTGTTTTAATCTTCTGCAGCAGGAGAATCAGGCAAAGGGAAAGAATCTCCCCCACACACTGATTTTCTCTCTAAACTGCAGTCCTGTGGATAATATCTGGAAGAAACCCCCATGCAGGATAAAGGATTACACGGCAACATGTAGCCACTCCGCTACACTAACTTTGATAAAATGCAGATTTGGTGCCAAGACTGTTTCCCCAATGGCACTGTGCATTTGCTAGGACCTAACAGCCACCCACTAGACCAATGCGACGGGTTTATAAAAGCAGCTCCATTAAGAAAATAAAGGCCTACAGGGAGATGGAAACAAGCAACTTGCGCCCCTTCAGTCTTGCTCCTAGTTGAATGAGGGCTTGTACCTGCTGCCAACATTGTTCAGGAGAGCTGTCAGGTCTGCTAGTTTTTTTTTTCACAAATCCACCCCCCAAGTATATTTAAATGGTTCATTTTAATGGTTTTAAAGTGTGATTTTGAGAAGGATGCCAGCCTCCAGGTGGGACCTCGGGATCCCCCGAAATTACAGCTCATCTCCAGACTATATAGGTCAATTCCCCTGGAGAAAATGGATTCTTTGAAGGGCGTACTGTATGGCACTGTACCCCACTGAGGTCCCTGTTCTCCCCAGGCTCCATCCCCAAATCTCCAAGAGTTTCCCAACCTGAAGTAGCGCACAGGAGCGGAGCTCTGGCAGTAAGGACCCCAGGGGTTGGGCACATGCAGCAAGCCCCGCCCCCTGCTCCCAGCAGCCCTCCGTCGGGCCACAAGGAGCAAGAAGCAACCAGGTAAGTTGCAGAGCCCCCCCCCCACCTTCAGGTACAAGCTCTTCCTCCTCTGTGAGGGCCAATTTGCACATCCCCCTCATAGCTAGCAATCCAAAACAGTCCAGCGGCACCTTTAAGACCAAGTTTTATGCAGGTACAAGCTCTCCCTCCTCTGTGAGGACAGATCGGCACATCCCCCCCACAATACCTAGCAATCCAAAACAGTCCAGTGGAGCCTCAGCGGTGGGTGTTGCCTTCTGACACACTTCCAGTGATGTCAGGGGGTGTGGCATATGCAAACAAGTTATGCTAATAAATTATGCTAATGAGCTCTTGCACCTCTTTTTCTACGAAATGACCCCTGGAGGTGGCAACTCTACCCCCCATCCCCTGCTGGTGACCAGGGGGGACCTGGTAACCTTAGATTTTAAAGTGTAATTTTATCATGTATGTTAAATTGTTAGCCACCTTGGCAGGATACAAATTTTGTAAACAAATAAGATTTTCTATCCTAGGCAGTGATCCACTCTTACCATTCCCATTGACTGCATTCAAAGTTCATCTACATGCAACATACTCAGTTTGCATGCATATACAGGGTTTAATATTCCTTCTTCCAATTATTAATCCAACAACTATTTCTCTCAGGATGCAAAAATCACATTCCCTCCCCCAACACTGGTACAGAAAGCAGAGGAAAACACTGTTGAAGAGACAGACAGATGGCATGCATATCTATGTAATACAAGGCTTAATTTTTTTTATCCCCCAATTCTGTGATTAGGAGGAAGTGTTCAAATTTACAAAAATCTATTTATGCATAACAAAAATATTGTTTCATATGAGTTGCATTAAGCAGTTTATTGTAGAAATGCAACTCAAAACACTTAGAGAGATTCAAGTTTGTCTGGTTTGTTTGTACTCTGAGCTGCAGAGTTTGGTTTTGTAAAATTGGGATTTTTCCACTTGGTTTTTCTCTAATCAAATGCTGAGGATTTTAACCACTCTATGATGTTTCCACAGCTATCCTCATATTGTATTGCCACATTAAATGAAGATCTGCATCTGTACAGCCACAGTATATTCTTTCAGTGTGTTGCAGCCATTAGCCATAATAATGTCTGTCTACCATATGTTGTAGTTTGAGCAGTTTACAAATTAAAATATATGCTTGTGGTGCAATGCGTAGTCTAAAACAGGTATCCCCAACATGGTGCCTCCAACACCTTTCTTGGTGCCTGTCAAGTGCTTTTAGAAAGTGGGCAGGGACAAGTGGGGCTTTTGCCCAGTGAGGCTTCTAACTGGCCACTGGAGATTTGATTGGCTGTGCAATTTTTTAAAAAACAAAACACTGCTTTGGCAGTAGCCACCACCACAGCACAAGGAACTTTACTGTGTTACTGAAGGTAATCTGTGGCAGCCATTTTGTGGCTGGCTCCACCTCCTACAGCAGGCATTTTCCAGCAGCCATTTTGTAGCTGTGCCCACCAGGTATGTCAGAATTCCAAATGCGCCCACTGGCTCAAAAAGGTTGGAGACCCTGGTTTAAAACATGACACCCCCAGGCATGACTCACACACAAAAATTGCTCCGAAATTATGGAAATGAGTCCTGGGAATATCCTGGTTTACATGCTTCCACTTCCTCTGCCCTTCTCTTGTGGCTAGGAAATCATTCACTTCTACTGTGACAGCAAGCCACAGCTTGTTTTACCTAACATGTAAACTACAGTTTGTTCTTTTCCTTTCCAACCAGGATTCCAAATCAGTTTCTAGGTAAGAGATAAAACCACACTTTGTGATTCCTATGAGACAACATGGTTTGCTGAAGAACTGTTTATTCTCTAAACTGTATGTGAAAAGAGGACAGCAGAATGTGCAAACCTCAAAATTTCTTAGGGTCATTCCTGCAATGACAAAACATGGTTCATTGCATGAATTACATCTTAAAAGTTTGCATGGACACTGGACAAACCCAAAAACAGAGGAGTTAATTTAAGTATTTCCTATATTTCCACTGCAGGAAGGATATCATCTTTTAGAAATTTAACAGCAACTGCAATTTAGCATTTTGAAAAATATGAGAGTCTCCACAGACATGAAACTACAAGTTGTATAAAACATTTCAGTATCTACCCTCCAATACAGACACAGTCATTAACTGCGATCTGAGCATAGTAAAGACTGTCTTCTAGGAGAACATGACCATTTCCATCACATTACACTCCAATT